TTATAAAATTTTTAATTTCGGTTATAAAATTTTTAATTTAATTATAAAATTATATTTAATTATTAAATTAATTATGTTCTATAACCTAAATTCTTAGGACATAATTCAATTTCAGTTATAAAAATTTTAATTATAGGACATAATATATGAATTTCGGGACCCATCTTTAGTTGTGTAGGTGTTAATCCAAGTCCAAATGAATATTGCCTTTGATTGTTTCGATCCATGGATTGAGCGAGTCGTGTACTTAAGCTTTACTCAGATATGGTAGAGTGATTTTCAGATGTGGTTGGGTTGTTTTCACTTGATTCAGGTGAGAAGCTGATATTAAAGTAAGAGCGGGTAGCAGAAAAATGCCTTGGTGTCGATGATACTCGTGGTGTTGTCCAATCCTGATGTGTGTTGCTCATGCAATCCTTTCAATTGACAGATCCTTCAAAGAGACTATTCTTTTTTCACTTTTTCAAGTAGTTGTTCCTTTCAGATGATAGTGTTTCTTCAATTTCCAAATTATCTGTTCCTTCAAGGCAACTGTCCTGTTGCCAATTTCCAAGTTATCCAATCCTTCAAGGCAACTGTCCTGTCATCGTCATCAAAAATGTGATCAAAATCCATTTGATCTGTATCCGAGTGATAGTTTTTAGAAGGAATTAAAGATTATATAGAACAGTTCGTCGTTCCAGAGATAATCTCTCACAAATATTTCAAGGTACGGCAAAGATTTCCCAATGAATCTTTATAATCAAAATGTATTTAATAAAATAACAGTGATTTATTAAGACACCGAGTCAAAAATTCAGATGGTTACAGGAGTGAGTTATCAAGAACTCCAAGAGTGAGTTTATCAAAAACTACAAGAGTGAGTTTATCAAAAACTACAAGAGTAAGTTTAAAAAAACTGAGTGAAATTTATATAGACAGTAGTTACTTATATAATGTTTTCTATCCTAGACTATCTGGGCTGCCCGGGCTGTCTGGGCTGCCTAATTTACATGTCACGATGTCATAATTTCATAGATCATAGGCCTTATAGGTCTTTTGGGCCTTCCAGGCTGCTTGAACCTTCTAGGCTGTCTGATCTACATTACACATGCTATAAATAGATATTTATACTATACTAAAATAATAAATCCTACTGCTAAAAATAAACTAATAATAATTCGATAAAAAAAATAAGTAAAAATAAAACTAAATTATCTATTTTATCATAGTATGTGTGCAGCATAGAGAGAATAGCTGGTAGATGCTTTTTTCCCCTAATTGGTAATAAATATGTGAGTTTGACTATCATCTCTGTTGGGATCTGATTATGTGTTTTAGGAAAAGGTGGAAGGGATTTATAGAGTAATTGTTTGCAAAGCTCTAATAGTTCTATATAATCAACTGTTTTGTTATTGTTTTTAAAAAAGTAGTTGCAGCCAAATTCGAGTAATTGAGCTATTTCATAATATTTAAGTTTGGCTAGATCTGTGAATTTTAAGTAGATAACAAAGAGGGATGAATTAAAAATCCAGCACACTTTCCGCTTGATGACATGATTAATATATTCTATATCATGGTGCTTTTTGTAATTTTTGTAAAACTTGTTTTCGAGAGATTCATATTCTTTCTAATGATTGCCTTTTAAATTCTTGTTTTTGGTAAATAATCTAAAAAAGGTTTTGTTTCTTAATAGTATTTTTGTGAAGATTGCGAAGTGTGGTTCTTAAGTGACCGATCCTTTAGGTTTGCTTTTGATATTTTTAAAAACTTCAATAACTTTTTGAGCTTCTGACCAGTGCTGGCTTAGCTGAGAGGCTAGATCAATAATAATATCGTGTTTACTGACAAAAGGTTCAGCGGTGTTGATTGGTAGTGCTAGAGATATGTTGTCTATAGGGTACTGTAAGCTTGGATCACTCTCTATTAGTAGATTGATAATTTTCTGTTCTTTGGGGTTTATAGGCTCCAATGATGGTAAGTTCAAGGCACTGTTTGAGATTGTGGAAGGGTTCAAAGAATTGATAAGATCTCCTATCAAACTTGATTCATCAATGGTTATAGACAGGGCATTCGTGTTTTGTGTAGGGGTACTTGATAAAAGTATAAGAGAGGTGGATATAATTTTCAAAGAGGAATTTTAAAGAGTATCCAAGTTGATTTGTATTTGTTTTTCAAATTTCATTAGTGAATCAATATTTCTCAATGAAATATCCTAATCCAATGGATTCATTGAAATGTCTACATCTGACACGGGACTAGTTGACCTAATGGTACTGCCAGATTTGTCCTGATTGGCTTCAGGAGTAACTGCAAATTGATGATCATCCACTTGCATCATGTCACCTGTGGCTTGTTGATTGCATGAGGGGTTTGTGTTTAATGATTTGTATGTTTGTGTATCATTTGAATTTAGCATAACTGTAGTACATTGTTGATCAATTGATGGGGTAAGCTGCTTGGAGTTTTTTGGGAGATATGAGATGCTGATTTTTTTCTTGCTAAGTTTGCAAGAGAGTTTTGATTTGAAATTTTTGATTCATTCTCTTGGACTGGAGTGTTGGGTGATGAATGTGTTGGTACATTTTGTATTCTTTCAAGGATGAATTTGTTTTCATTATTTATTATATTGATTTGGTTCCAGGAAAGATGAGAGGTATAGTTGAGATTGCTGTCTAGTACCTTATTTACAATAGTCTTTTTTATACTTGGAGTAAGATTATTCCTTTTCTGATAGAGAAAAAATTTTTTGAGATTGTTTTGGATATTACTTTTCATGTTGTTAATAGAAAGCGAGGCTGTTATGTATGAATGTAAGGAGGAGTTGAAATTGGTTGCTATATGTTTGAAATCAATAAAGGCAATATCTACTTGTAAAGAGTTATTATTGTTGCTTGGGTTTTGAAGAGGAACAATCCAAAACTTAGGAAAGTCAGTTAAAAGAGAGATGGATACATGTTTTGCTGGCTCAGTAATATGGATATTGCTTGAGTTGTTTTCCTTATAAACTATAGAAAAGAGGTATTCATTTGGATTTACTATAACGATATTCAAGAGAATATGGGATAAGGTTGTTGGTTTGCCCTTGGAAGTTGGGCTCCCAAGAGTGCTTGCTGTTTTTTTCCTCCTTAAAATTTTGTCTGTTACTATAAAAGAGAATTTTTTGAGAAAAAAATGATTTATGGAAAAGAGTTTTATTTTTTAATTAATATTTTCTTTATTCAATAAATTATTATATTTATTATAATAAAAATTTGAATTATTATATAATTTGATTGTATAATATTTTATTATTAATATCATATGTGGTCATAAAGATCTCATATGATTTTTATTTATCAATTTTATATTGATATACAATTTCCTTAACTTTTTGTATTGTTTGTTTATCAAAAATAAAAGAGATTTATGAAAAGCCTTATTATTGTCTATAAGATTTTTGAGAAATTTATTTATTTTATATTTATTATATAATATATCAATAATATAAATCTTGCATTTAATATTTGTTAAAAATTAAAAAATACAATATATATATTGTTAACAGGAAAAAATAAGTAAATTAATCCAAATCACTGACAGTTATGTAACTTAATGCAATGTATTGGATCAAAAATATAGAAGTTAAAATAATCAAAAACTTAATTTGCATAATGTGATGATAGATTAACAGACATGTTGTAAACAATATAAATATAATGAGAATTAGCTAATAAAAGTAAAAGATAACCCATATGAACATATAGAGAAGCTATAGTAGTAAATAAAGGTACAATAAAGAATAAAATATCATTTGAAAAACTATATCATTTATATTAATAATACATAATTAATATATTTACCTTGAGAAAAGTATTGGCCACTATAAGAATACTATAGACCATAGAGGATTGTAGTAGTGAATTATATGACAATATATAAAAAAGAATTCTATTAACATATACCTAAAGATAGGTTCCTAAATTAAAGATAAGAATATAATCCAAATATCTTTTATTATTAAAAAAGTTTTTTTTTAAATATAAGATTAAAAAAAAATCTTCTATAAAGGTTTTTTACAATTTAGGCCATTTGATTCAAATGTTTTTAAATTATTTCCTTATTAAAATAATGAATAAATAATTATGTCCCTTCAAAAGAAACATAATTGATCTGTGAAATTTTATATACTAAATAATTTAAGAATTCATCTTTACATATATCTTTAGTTAAACAAGTAATTTTTGATTCCTATCACTATTATTATATGAGTCTTAGCTTTAGATTAGTGATAGACTTGCTATATACTGATAACAATATATATACTGTATATCAATAATATAAATTTGATCAATACTAATGTTTTAAACATATTATTATACAAATTGTATTAGCAGCAAGACAAGTTCTATCTTAAGTAATTAAATCACTTATACTTGAAAAAATTCTTTTAGCAGATATATTTGTTGCTGAAATTGCTAAATAATTTTTTGCCATTTTATTTAAATATAGATATTCATTTGAATGTCACTATAATAAAAATTATTAATATTTAATATATAAAATACAAAAAATAAAATAATTTATCTTTTATCAATTTAATGGATCAATAAGTACTGAAGCTTGTTTAGCTTTTAAAAATATTTCAATTTTACTTGTAATAAAATTTAATTATTTAGAAATATATAATATTAAATTTTTATTCTTAGAATTATAATTTATTATCATATTTTCAATAAATTTTTAATATCTATAAAATAATTAATTTAAATAAATAAATTTTTAATTATATATAAAAATATTATATACTGTATATTTTTGTTTTTTGTATCATCAATTAATTTTTCTTTCTATTCATAATCTTTTATATATTGTAATTTAAGTCATGGATCTAAAACTAATATAGATTTTAATTAAATAAATACAATAAATATTTATTTAATCATTAATCTCTTTCCCGTTCACGTGTGGCGCAACAACCAACCCGAACAAGAAAGATGACAAGCAACCCAGGGAACAGTAAAGTTCCTAGCAGACAAACAGACAGAACTCTCAGATACGAAAGAAGAACAGTTAAAGAAGCAACCCCACTCAGAACCCAACCATATGCAAAGAAACCCAACACCCAAATGAAACAACCACAAACCTCTACAACCCAAACTGAAACTCAGCAGCCCCGAATCCAAACAATTCCAAATCAAGAAGCCCCACTCACTCAGCAAACAAGAGGATATACCCAAACAGAAGCGCACCAGAACTCCCTTCCCAAACAGAGCTGGGACGAACAGATAGCAAATGAACAGGACGGCCAGAAAAACCTGGAAACAAACAAAGGCCACACCAACCCTCAAGAACAGGGAAAAACCCTGAAAACAAAGAATAGAGCCATCAGAATAGACGACACAGACATAGAAATGAACAACGAAAGTGAAACAGAACAAGACCAACCATGGTTCACCATGCTGAAAGGAAAGAG